GAGCGATAATACCAATGAGGGCCTTCAGTTTCAAAAGGACAAAGATTTATTATTGCGCATGCTAGTAGTGGAAAATGCATATCTGAAATGTAATTCCAATGGTAAGTCGTGTGATTATCATAGTGAGATGAACTAGAGTAACTATAAAAAATGGCTTCAGGATAAACTGATTCCCAACCTGCCACCAAATAGTGTTTTGGTCATAGACAACGCTCCGTATCACAATGTTCAGATAGACAAATGTCCTACTATACGAGTCCCTTCCCACTTCAGTTGGCCCAACTTATCAAACACAAATAATAAAAATGTGGAGGGTGTTATAGGTTTAAAATATTAACAATGAATATTTTGATAATATATAGTAGAAAACACCAACTTTATCACTGCCTAATCAAATTTGCAGCATAAAAATAACACATGTTGCAATTACAGCATATCAACCTATTTTCATTTCAATGCAAAATAAGTCTATAACGCATAGGTGGCTGTGAAAAATAAAAGCCATGACAATTGTTTTTCTTAATCACAGCTGTCAGAATACGTTTAAACTAGTTTTTCGTAGTTAAGGTTTTCAAAATGGGCAGAGGAAAGGTTATTAGTGAGAAAATTCGGTTACTGATAATTAAATTTTTTAGTTCTGAGAAATCAAACTCAGAAATTGCAACTTTGTTAGACTTATCGCGGTACAGTGTGAGAAATATTGTTAGAAGATATAACGTAACTGGTTCAGTTAATATTAAGCCACGATATGTGAAAAAAAGTAATATCACAAATGCCGACCGAAGAGCATTAAGAAGAATAATCTTGAAAAACAGGCGTGCCAATTATTTACAATTAAGTGCTCTGTGGAGTGACGCTGTTGAAAGGAGAATTTCGAGGTCCAGAACTCATAGAGAGGCCCACAAACTGGGATTTAGCACTTGCAAGGTAAGTTTTCTTATAAAAAAAAGTGAAGTAAAAACCTTAAAGTTGCACAACTTGTTTATAGGCCAAAGAAAAGCCACTATTAACTCCACTGCAAAAGAAAAATCGGCTTAGATGGGCTAAAGAACATAGACAATGGACACCTCAACAATGGTGTGCAATACAACGGAGTGATGAGGCCCAATTCGAAGTTTGTGTTGGTGACAGTGGCAGTAGAGCTATTCACAAAAAAAATGAAGCATTCCATGTTGACTGTCTGAAGAGGAAAGTGAAATTTCCAGCATCCATTATGGTCTGAGGCAGTATGTCATCAAAAGGAGTAGGAAAACTTCATTTTTTGAAATGGGTTTCTAGCAGTCCAGATCTGTCACCTAGTGAAACTTTGTGGCACGAGATGAAAAAGGTTCTACGACAACATCCTGCTCGTACAATCACCGAACTGAGACAAAAGCTTCAAGAAATATTGAATTTTTTTACACCAAATTTATGCCAAAACTTGGTTAACACTACGCCCCAAAGAATTTCAGCCGTAATAAAAAATAAAGGTGATGTTACCCAATGGTAATCTTTCAACTGTTGCTTTGTTAACTTTTATTGCGCATTTATTCGCACATTGTTCATATGTTCAGATGTTCTACTAGTTATACTTCTAAGAGATTTCAAATATGTATTTTTTACGACCGGAGTGTATCTAAAATGCTTTTGAGAAAATAAATTGTTTTAGAAGTAAATAGTTTCGTTATGTTTAGTTTATAAAGGCATATTTTGGTACAAATCTTGAAGTGGGCCAACTGAAGAGGGAAGCGGCTCGGATGCTCTAAGAAGGATCATACGAAAGGATGGCTAAGGCAAAAAAAACATACATTTCACTGACGACATGTTGAAAATTGATTTCTATAGCCTTATCAAAATGCATAAGCCGGCATATATAACTTATGGAATAGACATAATCGTGGCTGAAAAAGGTCATTTTGTTTTGAGATTGCCACCATATCACCCAACTGAGTTGGTATGGACATCTTTGAAACAATATGTGGCTGAGCGAAATGTAGATTTTAATCTCCAGACTGGCGAGAAACTTTGCGTCGACTTTTTCTCGTCTTCTCCCACAGAAGAATGGAAAAATCGATGCCAAAGGTTTTGAGAAGCAGTATATGGAAATGGAACCAGCACTCGACTTAGTAATGGATCAAATAATAATAAACCTCGACGAAGATAGCGATAGCGAAACCGAAGATTTAAGTTTAAGTAGTCGCTCAAATTCCGATTCCGAACTTTCACAATTTGATCATCTGTGAAACTTCATAAATCTGCAAAATATTGCCAACTTCATCTACTACGATGTTAGTTTTCTGACCTTACTTTTTATTTGACTGTTTATTAATTGAACTTATTAACAATTAGACATAGACTGAGTATAAATCAGTTTCAGTTAATGTTGATGTCGCTTGTACCGCCTTGTATTCAGTTATCAATAACATCTTTGAGGTCCATGTCCCTAAATGCAAAAATAAAATGTTTTCGTATCCCCCATGGTTCACAAGTGAAATTATACTTAATATGAAGAAGAAGGACATAGCAAGAAGGAACTGGAAATGTGACGGTACTTAGTTTTCTTATGATCAGTTCAGTAATTTTAGGAAGCTCATTAAGAAGCAGATCAGTGTTGCCTTCTCCGCTTACGTCCAATCGGTTGAGGATGCCATTGTCAATGATCCTAGCAAATTCTGGTCATTTGCCCAGATCAAAAAACAGCAATCTAGAATCCCCCAGGGATGACGCTTAACGGCAATGTCTGCGATACGCCTCAGGATATAGTGGACAGTTTTGCTACCTTCTTTTCAACATTTTTTATCCCGTCTGGTCTACTGGGGTCATCTCCTCCAACAAATAATTCTACCGATATCATTTCTTTAAGAAATATAAGTGAAGAAAACGTAATTAGGGCTTCGAAAAGATTAAAGAACAAAATGACGTCTAGATGTGATGGTATTCCAAGTTTTTTCGTTAAAGATTGCATTCATATACTAGCGAAACCGCTGGCTTCCATATTCAACCTAATTATAAAATCAGAGACATATCCAAATATCTGGAAGACCTCTAAAAATATGTCCTATTCACAAAAGTGAAGATATCTCTGATATTTCCAACTAACGCCAAATAGCAATCCTGTGCAATTTCAGCAAGTTGTTTGAGATCATCGCATATGAAACGGTTTACTGCTCGGTCAGGGGTGCAGTCACTATTAATCAGCATGGGTTTATGAGAGGCAGATCTACGGTCACGAACTTGGCTCTAATTACTCAGGACATTTCTGAAGTACTGGACGGTCAGGGACAAGTTGATGTCGTCTACACAGATATCCAGAAGGCGTTTGATCAAGTTGATCATTATGCACTTCTGGATAAGCTTAAAACAGTGGGCATGTCTGATGCAATGCTGTCGCTCATGAATTCATATTTGATGGATAGAAGGTTATTTGTCGAATATGGTGGTCATAGGTCGAGTTACTATCGGGCCACGTCCGGGGTACTTCAAGGATCAAATCTAGGTCCATTATTGTTTTTGATATTTATCAATGACTTGTCTTTTGAACTGAAGTGTTTCCATTTGTTTTTCGCTGATGACCTTAAAATCTGCACGTCAGTCAAAACAGTCGAGGATTGCGTAATGTTGCAAGATGACTTAGCTATAATTTCGTCATGGTGTTCACGAAACTGTCTCAGTCTGAATGTTTCGAAATGTAAAGTTATGACTTATACAAGAAAAGTTATAACATCAATGGTCAGGTTATAGACAGATGCACCTCTTATAGAGATCTTGGAGTCATTTTTGATACCAAGCTAACGTTTACTGAGCATATACTCAATATCTCGTCGGCTGCCACTCGACTACTTGGTTTCTGTATCAGAAACTGGAAGGGTTTCTCCAATGTTGATACATTAATGACTTTATTTTTTACTTTTGTCAGGAGCAAGTTGGAGTATGCGACTCTGATCTGGTCTCCTATATACCAAAATTCTGTCGTGATCCTTGAGGCCATTCAACGTAAAGCTTTAAAGTATTTTCACCTTGAATGCACAGGTTCTTATCCAGAAAGAGGTTGTGACCATAGTGCCCTATTAGAGTTTTTCAATTTGGATTCACTGTCAACAAGACGAAACATATTTGCTTTGTCGTTTTTGTATGGCCTTATTCACAATAAAATTGACTGTCAAAATTTACTTGAACAAATATGTTTCCGCGTTCCAAGGCTAGGGAGTCGACAACAAACGGCATTCTATTGTCAAGCTGGCCGTACAAATGTTATGACAAAATCACCAATTAATCTCATGTGCTGCGTCATGAACAGTGTTACTGAATCGTGAGATATTTACAGTGACAGTTGTGCATCGATTATTAACTGCTATAGATCATCCAATCTTATTTAGAATGTGTGATACCCATAGATTTAAGTCCAAGAACCATGTATCCTTAATTATTATTTTTTTCAGCGTTTCCTGTAATTGGGTTTCACCTGTTGGAAATAAATACATAAATAAATTTCAGTCTTATAGCTAATGCAATACTTATTTTATGGAATAAACTATTTTGGTTTCCTTTTGACACATGTCAACAATTTAGATTGAATAAAGCAGGCTTCACATAGCACGTATTCCATTGTTGAAATTATTCGATTAATTTAGGACGAGATCGAATACGTGCCATCTCTTTTGCTACGAATGCGTTCTCCCTCTCTCGTGTGCACAATCCCAGCAAATCCTCATCCTCATCTCTCTTCCTACACTTGACGAGCTGTACTCACGGCCTTGTATAGAGTAAGGAGCTCAGTTCAAAAAATAAGTAGGTGGGCTTTCTGAAAAGCGTTGGATGTAAGATACAAAGTATCATTTATGATAGAAAGCTCTCAATCTTTATATTTTGATTATGGATTATCTTATTTAACGACTAGCCGCAAGATACATGAGTAATCAAACTGTGGAACACCGTCTCAAAAATTCATATTTTGTAATGCACCTTGAACTTACATTTCAACTTACATTATGTGAGAATTTAAGCCATGCTTATCTTTTGTTTCAGGGTACGGACAACATCAGGCGAGCGATGAGCTCCGGGGCCTCGTTTAGGGGCTACGGGCCACGCGCCTAAATATGAGGGAGGAAGAACTAGAAGTGGCCCTGAAGGTAAATATTTCACAAGAACTCTATTTTAGTTAATTCTCCGTACGTTTTATTACAACAAATTCAGGGGCGTAGCAAACGCCTATCAGCCGCATCAACGAGACGCGACCCCCAGCTTACAGGGGTTAGTTAAAGGTAACTAGTTTCTTAACACCTTTTGGTAGAAATTCAGTCGGTAAACGTGCATTTTCCCAGTAAATAATGCGCTCACGAATAGTAAGGTAGGTGCTCTCATTAACACTTAATTTCACTTCCCAGATATTATACAGGGTGTTTGGATGGTCCTGGCGAGGGGATAGGGCAGGCCATTTAAAGTCTCTTAAGCCAAACATTCCTCAGTACAAAGTCTTACGGTTTCCGAGATATTCGGATTTTCAAATTTAAATCATAAACTTGTAAACGAAACTAAATAAACTATTGAAACATGCTTCATTGATGTTCAAAGTGAGAAGCATTGTTTCTGATACATGCTCGAGCTCCACGTGTTACTTCGGTAGTTGTTGTATCAGGTAACCAAATAAGTTCGTGCGGTTGCTGTATATCGTACATTGCCATGGATGTTGTTGATCGATAGCGAAGGCTAGTTTTCTTTCAGGGAAACAAAAGATATTAAAATTTAAAATATAAGCAGAACATAAATAAAAATGTCGTACATTGCACTACTTAATACCCCCACAAAACTTCATCCGATTCGATGGCATACCATAGTTTTCAAGCCATTTGATTTTTTGTGAATAGAATTACGCACAATAAAAATCGAAAATCTCCAATAACTCGAAAACCGTAAGACTTTGAACTAAGGTATTTTTGGCTTAAAAGATTCTAAATGGTCTGCCCTATCACCTCCCAAGACTTAATATCGACCTTCCAAACACCCTGTAGAACAAAACTGCTAGTACTTGTCCACTAGAGGGAAGTTATTTGTTTTTACGGTAGCTATTTTTATAAAGGCTAGTTTTCTTTCAGGGAATCAAAAAATATTAGAATCTAAAATATAAGCAGAACATAAATAAAAATGTGGTACATTGCACTACTTAATACCCCCACAAAACTTCATCCGATTCGATGGCATACCATAGTTTTCAAGCCCTTTGATTTTTTGTGAATAGAATTACGCACAATAAAAATCGAAAATCTCCAATAACCCGAAAACCGTAAGATTTTGAACTAAGGTATTCTTGGCTTAAAAGATTCTAAATGGTCTGCACTATCACCTCCCCAAGACTTTGTATCGACCTTCCAAAGACCCTGTAGAACAAAACTGCTAGTACTTGTCCACTAGAGGGAAGTTATTTGTTTTTACGGTAGCTATTTTTATAAAGGCTAGTTTTCTTTCAGGGAATCAAAAAATATTAGAATCTAAAATATAAGCAGAACATAAATAAAAATGTCGTACATTGCACGTCTTAATACCCCCACAAAACTTCATCCGATTCGATGGCATACCATAGTTTTCAAGCCATTTGATTTTTTGTGAATAGAATTAAGCACAATAAAAATCGAAAATCTCCAATAACCCGAAAACCGTAAGATTTTGAACTAAGGTATTTTTAGCTTAAAATATTCTAAATGGTCTGCCCTATCACCTCCCCAAGACTTTTTATCGACCTTCCAAACACCCTGTAGAACAAAACTGCTAGTACTTGTCCACAAGAGGGAAGTTATTTGTTTTTACGGTAGCTATTTTTATAAAGGCTAGTTTTCTTTCAGGGAATCAAAAAATATTAGAATCTAAAATATAAGCAGAACATAAATAAGAATGTCGTACATTGCACTACTTAATACCCCCACAAAACTTCATCCGATTCGATGGCATACCATAGTTTTCAAGCCATTTGATTTTTTGTGAATAGAATTACGCACAATAAAAATCGAAAATCTCCAATAACCCGAAAACCGTAAGATTTTGAACTAAGGTATTTTTGGCTTAAAATATTCTAAATGGCCTGCCCTATCACCTCCCCAAGACTTTGTATCGACCTTCCAAACACCCTGTAGAACAAAATTGCTAGTCCATGTCCACTAGAGGGAAGTTATTTGTTTTTACGGTAGCTATTTTTATAAAGGCTAGTTTTCTTTCAGGGAATCAAAAAATATTAGAATCTAAAATATAAGCAGAATATAAATAAAAATGTCGTACATTGCACTTCTTAATACCCCCACAAAACTTCATCCGATTCGATGGCATACCATAGTTTTCAAGCCATTTGATTTTTTGTGAATAGAATTAAGCACAATAAAAATCGAAAATCTCCAATAACCCGAAAACCGTAAGATTTTGAACTAAGGTATTTTTGGCTTAAAATATTCTAAATGGTCTGCCCTATCACCTCCCCAAGACTTTTTATCGACCTTCCAAACACCCTGTAGAACAAAACTGCTAGTACTTGTCCACAAGAGGGAAGTTATTTGTTTTTACGGTAGCTATTTTTATAAAGGCTAGTTTTCTTTCAGGGAATCAAAAAATATTAGAATCTAAAATATAAGCAGAACATAAATAAGAATGTCGTACATTGCACTACTTAATACCCCCACAAAACTTCATCCGATTCGATGTCATACCATAGTTTTCAAGCCATTTGATTTTTTGTGAATAGAATTACGCACAATAAAAATCGAAAATCTCCAATAACCCGAAAACCGTAAGATTTTGAACTAAGGTATTTTTGGCTTAAAATATTCTAAATGGCCTGCCCTATCACCTCCCCAAGACTTTGTATCGACCTTCCAAACACCCTGTAGAACAAAATTGCTAGTACTTGTCCACTAGAGGGAAGTTATTTGTTTTTACGGTAGCTATTTTTATAAAGGCTAGTTTTCTTTCAGGGAATCAAAAAATATTAGAATCTAAAATATAAGCAGAACATAAATAAAAATGTCGTACATTGCACTACTTAATACCCCCACAAAACTTCATCCGATTCGATGGCATACCATAGTTTTCAAGCCATTTGATTTTTTGTGAATAGAATTACGCACAATAAAAATCGAAAATCTCCAATAACCCGAAAACCGTAAGATTTTGAACTAAGGTATTTTGGCTTAAAAGATTCTAAATGGTCTGCCCTATCACCTCCCCAAGACTTTGTATCGACCTTCCAAACACCCTGTAGAACAAAACTGCTAGTACTTGTCCACAAGAGGGAAGTTATTTGTTTTTAAGGTAGCTATTTTTATAAAGGCTAGTTTTCTTTCAGGGAAACAAAAGATATTTAAATATAAAATATAAGCAGAACATAAATAAAAAAGTCGTGCATTGCACTACTTAATACCCCCACAAAACTTCATCCGATTCGATGGCATACCATAGTTTTCAAGCCATTTGATTTTTGTGAATAGAATTACGCACAATAAAAATCGAAAATCTCCAATAACCCGAAAACCGTAAGATTTTGAACTAAGGTATTTTTGGCTTAAAATATTCTAAATGGCCTGCCCTATCACCTCCCCAAGACTTTGTATCGACCTTCCAAACACCCTGTAGAACAAAACTGCTAGTACTTGTCCACAAGAGGGAAGTTATTTGTTTTTACGGTAGCTATTTTTATAAAGGCTAGTTTTCTTTCAGGGAAACAAAAGATATTTAAATCTAAAATATAAGCAGAACATAAATAAAAAGGTCGTACATTGCACTACTTAATACCCCCACAAAAATTCATCCGATTCGATGAAATACCATAGTTTTCAAACAAATTTATTTTTTGTGAATAAAATGAAAAATAATGCAAAAAAGATTGACTATTGAGATAAGATGCATAGTTGTTCAAGTGAAATTAAATTGCTACCTGTGTATTTCAGGTTTGCACATTTGCTAGCATAAGATGATAAAGGAAACACATTTCCCTTTCTTCATACCACCGTAATACTTTTACAATTATATGTGTAGCATAACCAGTGAAAACTACCCACGAAAGTGGAAAAATGATGGTTATTGCCAGCCTGACTTCCTTTTTTCATCATCGCTACAAGCGCTGCGTTTACTCTTTGCATTCGACAACGGTACTTTCTCTTGCCATGTTTTATACTTTTAATGGCCAGTATGTAATTGCGCGATGGTATCTGGTTACAAGACCGTGCTAATGTTTTGCTGATCCGTTGGTTGCTCTTGAAATAACATGCATGAATAGATACTGATTCCGATGGTGTACCTTTGGCCCTGTCCTCACTTGGTGCTGGTCGCATGGTAACTAAAGCTTGTCGCACAAAAAAAACTGCTTTGGATTGTTTGTAGAATCTTCAATCGACGTCAGATGAGTGGGCCGACAAACCCATCTTAAACATGAATAATCGAAAGCTGATCTTAACAGCTACAAAGTTTTAGCTCTGCTCTGTGATGAATATACAGGGTGTTTGAACATTATTTGCCAGCAGCGTGTAGTTTTTTATTTATAAACTCACAAAGGGTTACAAAGAAGAACAAAAAAATGTAGGTCTCAATTTTGAATTTCTGTAAAAAAAACTAAAAGCGTTCACATTCTTAGAATTGTTTTAAAAACTACTCTAGTTTATCCCGATTCTAACGGTATGCCACAAGTCAGAAAAAAGTTTAACTAACTTATTGAATTTGCAAATTTTGTGTATAGGGAAAGGAAAATAAAAAAACGTGTAAATACAAATACTTATTGAACCGCCCTCGTAGAGAGAAATTACGTCACTTGAATAACATTTTTATTTAGCTGATAGTAAAACTAACGAAAAATTTAAAAATGTTGTTTCCGATTGGAGGTATTTAAACTATGATCAAATCGATGAAAGCGTGTTACAGGCTTATTCCATCCTACTCTCAACGTAAGACGTTTTTATTTGAAAATTTGAGATTTGAGGAGCTTTGCTATCGTTTACATATTTCTAATCGGAAAAAATAATTTCATATTTTTAGTTTATTTTATTATTATCAAGTAAATAAAACCTTGTTTTTAAAAAGGCATTTTTTTATTTTACCTATTTATTCTCAGCCTTATTGCACTGACCAAAAATATACTAAATAAAATCAACAAAATATTACTATTTTTAATGTGCTAAAACCGGAATGAAACTTATTTTTTCAATATTAGTTCAAGTTTTAGAGATACGGTAATTATATGTGTTCCTGCTGTGACAGTGTTAATATACTGTAATTCACAAGAATGCACGTGCTACATTTTTATATTCGGCAAGGAAAGATGATGTAATCGGCATGATTGTGTTACGTTATACATACGTGTACATTATATTGTTTTATATTAGCCATTTTTTCCTCAGTTGGCTGACAGCGTTCATGCAAGATGTCTCGAAAATGTGTAAACAATCCAGATCAGTTTTGTTACGTGTGTGGTGATGTGACTTTTTCGTCTCAGAGACGGTCTATTACTCCACTAATAACAAAGGCATATCAGCTTTATTTCGGTTGTACACTAGGTGATCAAGACAAACAGTGGGCACCCCACATCTGCTGTAATACATGTGCTTCAAGTCTGAGGAGCTGGTTAAATGGCAAAAAACGGTCTATGCGCTTTGCTGCCCCAATGGTTTGGAGAGAGCCTACAAATCATATTAATGATAGTTACTTTTGCATGGTACCTTGTGTTGGACAAGCCACAGATATGTCCAAGAAAAAAAAATCGGTTATTAACTACCCAAACATACCATCTGCGATGAGACCTGTGCCTCACAGTGACGAAAATCCTATTCCAAAACCCCCAGAATCCTACACTTGCGAATCAGAAACCGAATCAGATCATGGCTATCGAGTGATTCGTCAAGAAGAAGATAATATGCCATCAACGTCAAGAGATCCTGATTTTATACCGAGCACATCATGCCACCAACCGCACAAAATAACAGTCAGAATTAAATGATCTCGTAAGAGATTTAGAACTTCCAAAATGTAAGGCAGAGTTACTTGGATCAAGACTGCAGCAGTGGAACTTGTTAGAAGACGATGTTTCGGTATGTGTTTTTCGTAAACGCCACAAAGACTTAGAACCATTTTTCAATATGGAGAATAACTTGGTTTCCTGCAGTAACATTAACGGCTTACTGGCGGCTTTAAATATAAACTATAACCCAGAAGAATGGAGATTGTTTATAGACAGTTCAACATTGAGTTTAAAGGCAGTGTTATTGCATATTGGAAATATTTTACCATCTCTTCCTGTAGGGTATGCAGTTCACATGAAAGAATCATATGACAATATGAAGTACCTATTGAGATGCATAAAATACGATGAGCACCAATGGCATATTTGTGGCGATTTGAAAGTTGTTGCACTTTTACTTGGGCTGCAGCTAGGCTACACAAAGTTTTGCTGTTTTTTGTGTGAATGGGACAGTCGGGCAAAGGCACTTCATTACACCAGACAAAACTGGCCTGTTCGTCAATTCCTAGAGCCAGGTCAAAAAAATGTACAGCATATGCCATTAGTAGATTCGAAAAAAATTTTATTACCACCACTGCATATCAAGTTGGGCCTAATGAAAAACTTTGTCAAGGCATTAGATAGAGATGGGTCAGCTTTTCAATACCTGCGTCAGAAATTTCCAAGACTAAGTGAGGCAAAGGTTAAAGAAGGTATTTTTGTTGGGCCACAGATTCGAAATATTTTGAATGATGCACCGTTTGAAAACACTTTAACAGGTATTGAAAAAACTGCTTGGAATGATTTCCGTCTGGTGGTCACTAATTTCTTGGGAAATAGAAAAGCTGACAACTATAAAACCCTTGTCAAAAATATGCTGTCATCGTATCAAAAGATGGGCTGTAATATGTCTCTTAAGATACATTTCCTACACTCACACCTGGACTTTTTCCTGACAATTGCGGAGCCGTAAGTGATGAGCACGGCGAACGTTTTCATCAGGATATTTCAACAATGGAAAAAAGGTACCAGGGAAAGTGGAATCCTTCCATACTTGCAGACTACTGTTGGACTCTTGGTAGAGATGCTCCAGAAACGATCCATAAAAGAACAGCAAAAAGACAGCGCATATAGTGATTCTTATAAGTATATGAATCTTGTTACTTTTTTTAATATATCCTTAAAAATAAAAAGTTTTTTTTCTAAACCGCAACTAATTTTTTTATTTCATTGTCATTTTTGGATTCAGCGCCCCAAAATTAACAAAGAAGTGCACTTTTCCCACAAGATACAATTAAAAAACTAAAATTTGTTGTCCAGTGTTGTTAGTGTTGCGTGTGAACCTGGCTTCAACTACATATACATATCTCTGTGCTATTATCCTATCTGCGTCGTAGACTTCTTTCAGCAAATTTGGAATTATGCATCTGTTTTCTTTGTTTCAGTTTGTCGTTTCCTAGTAATGGCAAAAGTGAATAACCTAATAACCGAAATAGTACTCGCCAATCTAATTTTCGTATGTATTATGCCGCAAATTTTGACGGTGTCGGTTCTAAAATCGCCGGCGACGATCGGTAAGTTTCCGGGTGTGATAGCCGGTATAACGTAAACATGAAAATATTTTTTCCATTGACTCACTGATCAAAGGTACGTTGCCCACATAATTATCAGAAATAACAAACACGAACCTAGATATTTTCGAAGCAAACATGTACTGCTGTGCTTGAACTGTCATACTATTTTCGCGCTGCCAAAAGTGATTCATCTGGCTGGTTTTGTGTTTTTTTTTCTTAGAAGACAAAATGAACTTCTCAGCATAAAATTAGATATTATATCTACATCTATAAAGGTTAACAGCCCTAGAGTAAATAATTATTATAACAAAAACATGTATTCACTGAACAACTACTGAACGGGGCCGTGGCAAATGCTTGTTCCGGAAGTTGTTGTATCCAGTATACAACTTGTTCCCGTCCAAGTGATTGTACACGCGTTAAGGAATACCTCAGTACCGATTGCCGGGTGGCGGTACAAGTCTGTCAACGGTTTAGGTCTATTTAATATCATTAACACGGAAAAAGGTGGTAGACAAAGACCAGTCGACCGAGGCGGTACCACCCGCTAGCTTTTCCCAGGGTGTCTCATAAATGACCGCATGTTTCCACACCTAAGCTATGCATTCAGTTATCTTCCAAAACAAAGAAATTAATGATTGTGGAACAATCTACAAGAGGAAGCTTTTCCCAGTTCTACTAACCTTAGGCAGTTCAAAAATCGTATTAACAAAATTTCTTTGGGATAAACATTGCAGCCGCGGTGTTCCGGCATTTAAGGCTTCTGCCTGCGCGGCTGCTTCGATATAAAAAAAAACTGATTATTTCTTCGCCTATTTATAACATTACTTATCACTAATTCATAACAAATTTAAGAAAGTCGCGGATCGCTGCTCTTTGTTGACTTACTCATTATTTCTTTCCTAGACTGGGCTTCCTTTATAGCCATGTCTCTGGGAAGAACTGGGAAAAGCCTCCTCTTGTAGAGTGTCCCACAATCTCGACACCGTTGGTTCAAAGGAGCGGTCGTATCGGCCAGTTCTAAATGTACAAAGTTCGACACGGTTAGGATGGAAGACCGAAGTCGGTCGAGTATCCTTAGCTGTCACAAAATACGATAACTAATACGCATTCAAATTCATAATTTTCCTCTTCAATATATACTAAGTGACATATAAATCCGAACACCCAGTTTAAATGGTTTTATTTTAATAAAAGTTGGTGAATGTATTTATCTTACTGTAAATAACAAGTGAACAAATTTTCAGCCTTATCAGTTGGACATTCCAGTTTTTATACTGCTTTTTTTAATTCACTAGCGCTCTAAAAATGAATATTTCAGCCGCAGTAAAGAATCAACGTTGGCGGATTTTGAGTCTTGACATCCCTTACGATCGGTTACGATGCCTAGAGTACGGAGACCTGTACGATTTCGTCAACTTAGTGAGTTTGATAGGGGCCGTATAGTGGGACTTCGGGAAGCTGGACTTTACATAGTCATGCCATAAGTTCTGTCCCTCGTTTTCAAACAAGTGTAGACCTGTTAATACTTGTCCGATTGTTTACATTGTGGTGTCAGTTGATTAAGCGCTTTTCGGGTAATTACATATACCTCAGTTTGTATTGATCTCTCGAAGCATAACGATGGAGTGGGGCAAGGCAGAGAACCGTATGCAGCTTTACATAAGTGTATCACAGTGCTAGTC